ACGGGCGATCGAGCGTCAGCGCGAGCCGTGGATGGTGGCCGCAAGAGTGCATGGATGGATGAAATGTAGGTCCCATCTTGCTGCTGTGCCCGCTGCTCTAGTGATTGTATTCGGGCGCGTAGCCGTAGCTGTAGGCATGACCAAGAAGCACCAGAAAGAAACAAGAAGGTAAGCGGCGTGCGACTCCGAAAAAAAGCAAAAAGACACGGCGGGAGCGGGACGGCTTGGGTCCACCAGCTCTCAGCACTCACGCATTGCGCGCCTGAGAGATGCTGCCCAGTGCTGCGAGAATCCTGGGCGCGTCGAGTTTGTCCAAGCGCACATCGACGATAGACAAGACGTTGGGCGTGTCGCCGCTCGCCAAGCGTTGTAGAACGTCGTCAAAGTCAGCGACGGTCTCAACGATGTGCGAGCGGTGCTTGTCTTCGTGCGCGCCAAACGTGCGTACCAGATCCGCATATCTCCAGTCGACGATGCCGTTGTAATCGCGATGCGGACCGTGCAGCGCACGCTCAATAGTGTAGCCGGAATTATTGAGCACAAAGATGAGCGGCTTGAGATCCAGGCGGATGAAGGTGGAGATTTCTTGCGCCGTCATCTGGAGCGCTCCATCGCCTACGATGAGCACCACACGCGGTTCCTTGATGGCCGAAACTGCCTCTTGATCCTGCTGCGCCTGGGCCTGCCTGACGCGCGCATTGTAATCTTCCCTCGCTGCGACTGCTGCACCGACAGCCGCGCCGGTGGACCACCCGATGGAATTGTAGAGCATCTGCGATACCAAGTTGCAATTCTTTGATAGTCGGACATCTGTGATGCCGAAAGACGATGTTCCAGTATCCACGACGACAATGTCGTCCTGTTCAAAGAATTCGCCAAAACGAGGCCACATGTAGTTGTGCGTAAGCGGGGTGCGCTCCAGGGGCAACTTCAGACCATCGAGAGGAGGACGAGACAGAGCGAGCTTGGAAGAGACGGTGGCATCCTCAGAGTCAGAAATGAGGCGCGATGGCTTGCCTCCTCCCAAGGCAGTCGATGTTTTGCGAAGCAGCTCGGCTTGACTTGTCAGGTCGGCAATGATGGTTGCTAAATCCAAATTGTGAGCCGCGCGTGTCTGGGCGACATGCACATTCTGTGCGGGGAAAGTGACGCAATCAAGGTTGATGTCCAGCAGCCTCTCTGGCTCGATGTCGGCGGAGAATCCTCCTGTGTTGGTATCGGATCGTAGATGACCAATGCGGACGACGATGTCTGCTTGGTCTATCCGCTCCTTGATGTGTGGAAGTGTGCTGGCACCGACGAATGTTCCTCCAAACAGGGGTGATGTCTCGTCGATGAGACCTTTGCTGAGAGGAGCAGCGAACGTGGGGAGTCCAAGCGCGTTGACCAACTTCCGCGCGCGCTTCGTGTGGCCAAATCGCATCAGATTGACGTCCAAAATGACCACAGGATCTGCAGCCGTGGAAAGCACCCGGAGTATCTCGCCCACGCAGGCCTGGATCTGAGCCGAGCTTGGCGCGTGTGCTATGGCAAAGGCCTCCTCCTGGGGCGGCGTCGACGGAAGGCTGGCATTGGCTGACGTGGGGTAGTGCCACGCGTTCAAGGGAACAGCGAGGCGTTCACGGGGAATGAGCTCGAACACGACATCCGTGGGTATGTTGAGGTATGCCGGTCTCCTCTCTCTCAACGCCGTTCTCAGCACATGATCAATCTTGTCTGCGTCTGACCACGCATCGCCAGTGAGCTGCTCGTGCGCGCAGGAAATGGGTCTCGACATGTTCGAGAAGCTGTCGAAATCTCCGTTGGCGAAGCTGTGGTGGATGGGCAGCTTCTTGGCTACCTGTGCGCGTGGAGGAGAGCCAACGATGTGAAGCACGGGGAGGCGTTCCGCGTACGCACCACCGAGACCGTTCAGCGCGCTGAGCTCACCCACGCCCCAAGTGGTGACGACGGCTGCAAAACCGCACGAGCTTACGCGAGCGTATCCATCTGCGGCGTAGGCGGCGCCTAGCTCATTGGCGTTGCCCGCCCATTCCAGACCGCTATTGTCGTCGATGAGGTCGCAAATGCCGAATGTGAAATCTCCAGGACAGCCAAAGACGGTGCCGAGCCCAAGCTGACGCAGGCGATGCAGGAGAAAGTTGCCCACAAAGACGCTCGAAGGCCGATCGTCACGTGGCAGAGCCAGAGCTGTTGCTGTACTGACGGGTTTCTCGATTAGAGCTGGCATGACGCAAGATCGAATCGGAAGTCGTTAGATGCAGTTTGGCGAGATGAGCGAAGTGAGCCCGCGACAAGTACAAGATGGCAAAGAGACGCCTTGGCACGATGTGCTAGCAGACTCTCGTAGAGCAGTACGGAGTGTGGGCTGGCAAAGAGGGTAGAATAGCTCGAGGGGTGTATCAGCGCGGTCAGACGCAGGAGATGAATACATTCGTGTGCCTGTAGGCAGCCTGCTGGTCAGCCAAGCTATATATACTCTGGGCGTGCTGAGATGGGCTGACGATGTTTACGGGTCAATGACGGAGGACGGGGTCGACTGATCAATTTGACAGACGGTCGACGCGATGCGCCGTGTAGCGACCCGGACATCCACCACTACGCTCCGCGTCCGGTGGCCTGCCCTCTTCCTTGCAACGCATCGGCCTCCGTGCGTCGTGCAATGGCGGCAAGGAGCAAGGCGTTGCTGCTACCTCGGGGCCGAGGAAGAGGAGTCGACGCGAACGAGCATCGAGACATGACGGATGCTGAAGTCAGAGAGGCGGTGACGCGATGATGCGCGAAGGCGCAATGTCGAACTTGGCTGACGTAGCGGCGCAGTGGCTCGATGCGTGTGTCGATGCCGTCAAAAGGACAGAGGAGAGAGCTTCGAGCCGACGAGCAGGACTCAAATTTGCAAATCGCGAATCAGAAATCGCGGAAGATGCGCAATCACAGACAAGGGCGGGCAGAAAGGAGGACGGAGATGCGGCGAGCCAAACGCGGCACACGTGCGTGCGTGCGTACGCCCGCGCCCACGCCCGCGCCCGCCGAGACCTCCGCTTATCGCAATCTCGCATCGGTGTGTTGCACGCATCCTTCCAGCTTCGGATGGGTTGGGAGGCGGGGGCCGCCACATGTTTGCGCGCAGATATCACTCGCACCGCACATGGACGAGTCGCAGTACGTTGCCGTATACACACAAGAAGCGGTGCTGGCGCGAGAAATGATGAGTGTATTGAAGCAGGAGGTGTGAATGCCACGCAAGTCTCGAGTCAAGAGTCACGAGTACATGTAGCTCCTCAGGGGTTCGTGCATGGGGTGGTCACGTGACCAGTGGAAGATGTCGAGCGCTATAGGTGTGGGACAAGCAAAATCAAGCATCATGGATCAAGAATCCATCTGCCCATCGATCATCGCCTCTGGGTCGCGCGCGCATGGCTGGGCTTTGTGACAGCCGAGCGGGTTGCGCACATTGTTAGCGGGCCGCTATGCGATAGTGTGCACCATGGCAGACACTGGGCTCACTCGACTCAGGTCGTGCTCCCCGGTAACGAAGGAGAGATGACTGTCTACAAAGACGGCGCTCTTCGGCACGCGATGAGTGTCTTTCTGCCTGTTCCATTTCGTTTCGCAGGCCGTCGAAACTGAAGTTTGTGATTGGCGATCCAGTGAGCAGCTCGGCTTCTTCTCATGGCTGTTGTGTGACGAGGAGGAAAGCTCGCAACATCAGCGTCCGGCTCATCATAGCGCATGGCGTTGGCGCTAGCGGTTAGCGCTCAGCGAGGCCGACGCCGACGGCCAACTTGCGTTGGCGCGCGTCTGCACCCGCAACACTCGCGCGTAGCAGCAGCATTGATGTCGAAGGCCACGCAAACACGCGGTCTATGGGCAAAAAACGAAGAAATGCAGGTCGCGCTAGGCCCGCCGTTCTCTAAAACCCGATGCGATCACAAATCATGAATCATCACGTGAGCAAAGTCGAATTCGTGATTCGTGATTGAAGCTGTCGCGTGAGGCAACTGTGCATGCAGCAGCTAGCGAGCGTGCATGCTGTGTGCAGAACGCACATGCGCGATGAGTGACACTCACACTCGTCACTTTGATCCGCGATCCGCCACATCTCGCGCGGGAATAATTAAAGTTACGCTCAACTATTTCTTATCATCATGCGCGGGCATTTAAGCGAGTGGCCTCACTCAGCCAGGCTGAATGACAATCACGAATGAGCGCAGGACTAGCGTTTGCCCTCTGATTGCGACGACGAGCGATTCCGTAGATCGTCGTCACTGCGGGTCATCATCACCCTCACGAGTCACTCGATCGTGAATGGTGTGGTCATCCTTGGCAGGGTTGGGGTCACCTGCTGTGCCTAGCTGCCACAGCCACGGAGTTGACTGTGGGCCGAGCGCGTCCCACGTGATGCGTGCATGCATGCACGGTTGCTCGGATAGATGAAGAAGCAGCAGGATGGCATCGCATACCACACTGATGTCCGTCTGCAAGAAAGAAAGCCCGCCAGGCATGCAGGTCGTGAGGTCTGGTGAATGAATTACGACTGTTGTGCTGCAACCAAAGTTCACACTCCGAGCTCAGGAATTCAAACTTTGCAGAGGCCTCGCTGAAGAAGCGGCCGGCACGCTTAGGACTACGTTGCAGCTCACGAATGCGTAGATTGTTGTTGACTTATCGTCCGCTTTGGGAAAGCGCTTGGGACACATGTCAGGTCCACTGCGCTGACGCGCACGGACGCACGGACGCACATGCGCGGAGACGACACATCTCACTCACACTACTACCGCTGCGAGCTTGACGACAGACTAGCACGGAGATGGATGTCTACGTGACGACATGACCACACGTAAATCTCGCCTTTCGCCAGCCTGCCCTTGTGTTTGGCCTACCTTGTAATGTATTTTTCTTGCGATTGTGCCGGCGGAGCGTCCCGATCCGTGCACATGCTTCGGCTTCAGCTGATGTCTCCTCTCGCGCGCGTCTCCCTGCCCCACCCTCACCCATCATTCCCGCTTGACTTGTGCCTGGTTTCTCCGATGCTGCGAACGCGCCCACCTGGATTTGGCGAATGTCACAGCGCTAGCAAGGTCTCGAAGGACCAAGCGTCAAGACTTCGTCACTGCCATCGCCTAGTATAAGCACTGACCTCTCGCACTCCGTTGCGACAAGTTTATAAGAAGCACGGTCGCGAAGTGGAAACCTCCTTGAGCCACTCCATCAACTTCCCAATCTGCGGACGTCGCAAAAATCATCTACCTACACGCTTCGCCGAACCCTTGCCCCTGTGCACTTGTCGCCTACTCTTGCGTCAAGCTCGCGCTTCCTTTGGCCCCTGTATCCCCAGACAGAAGCTGATCAGCGCAAACAAAAATGAGTCAAGCCAGCGTAAACCTGACCCAGGAGGGTTCGACCAAGGCGGCATCGAACGCCGGCGCCGAGACTGCGCACGACTCGAACACCAACTCACAGGCATCATCCACATACCGCAACAAAGAGGGGTGGAATAACTCCACAGATGGAGATGTTACGCCACAGTCAAGCCAAGATGAAGTCCCCGCAGCAGTGGAACTCGCACCACTGCGCAAGTGGACGATACTGTTCCTCCTCTGCTTCAGTCAATTTTGGGACATTGTCAATGTCACTGCTCCAACCATTGGTCTCCCCGACATCGCCGCCGACCTCGACATGGGACCTTCACAAAGACCTTGGGTCGTGTCCGCCTACGCGCTTTCATTTGCCGGCCTCTTGTTGCTGTGTGGCCGCCTGTCCGACATGATCGGCGCCAAAATCACATTCTGCATCGGCTATTTTGTGCTTGGTATCGCTGCAATCGTCGCCGCAGTCGCACCCGACGCCATCGTTCACCTCGTCTTCCGTGCCATCCAAGGTATTGGTGCTGCGCTCACCATCCCTAGCGCCATGAGCCTCATCGCAGCTCACTTCCAGGGCAAATTGTTCACCGTCGCTTTCGGCATTTTTGCAGCGGCCGGATGTATCGGAAATGTGCTCGGCGTCATCATCGGAGGCGTCATCACCGCATATGTGCCATGGCAATGGATCTTCTACGTGACCGCCATTTGCGTCATTCCTGCCGGCATCGCCTCCATTTTCGTCCTTGTCCACGTACCTCCTCAGCAGAAGTTCACATGGGCAAGACTCGATGTCCCCGGGGTGACGACTGGCACCTTTGGCATCATTCTCCTCACCTTCGCCTTCGCTGGCGCCTCAACGTACGGCTGGGCTAGCGCCACGATCCTCGCGCCACTGCTCATCAGCATCGCGTTGCTGCTCTTCTTCGTTTGGGTTGAGCACAAGGTCAAGTATCCAGTCATTCCTCCATCGCTCTTCTCTCTGCAGTTCAGCGTGCTGGTTGGTGTGGCCTTTAGTCTGTACTTTTGGTTCAACAGTCTGGTCTACCAAACGTCCTACCTTTTCGAAAACGTCTTCCAATGGTCACCCATCCAGACTGCCGTACACTTTCTTCCACTCGGGTTCATGGGCCTCCTCGCATCATTCAGCAGCGGCTTCCTCATCAAATACGTCCCCGTGCGATACACGATGCCCGTATGCCAGCTGCTCATGGTTGCAGGAGCGCTGCTAATGTCCTTTGCGCGCGACTCGAGCGACTACGCCAGACTCATCGTGCCCGGCTTCCTGATCGGCAACCTGGGCATGGCCAGCTGCTTCGCCCCTGTCAACATCAGTCTCATGGAACTGTGCCCCAGCGGCATGGAAGGTGTTGTAGGCGCCATCTTCAACAGCGCTGTGCAAGTTGGCTCAGGCGTCGGCATCGCCATTCTAGCCTTGGCCAGCGACAGCATCCAGCCGAAATACATTACGCCGGAGAGGATCGCTGCCGCTGGCGGCGACACGGCGCTTGCTGAACGACAAGCCTTGGCCATCGGCATTGGGCAAAGCTACTACATCCTTGTTGCCTTTTCCGCTCTCCTCATCCTCCTCGTCCTCGCCACAACCACTTTTAGGCATCGCAAGCCCGAGACGAACGAGGATGTCGAGTCGCAAGAGAAGCGTCGCCCGGTTGCTGTCGCATAGAGTGTTATTCCGAGCTCCTCTTCTCTCACGGGTAGGATTTCGTAACCTATCAAGACCCTCCTCCGCATCATGTCTTCCAGCAGCTCGCAAATTTTCTCCTCACGATCATGTTTCGTTCATCTCAACCCTCTCTTCCCCCGCGGGCAGGTTATCGCTTGCTTGCCGGGGGTCAATACATATCCGGCTTCGTTCAATAGAATATACATACCTCGCACGCGCTATTAGCAAGTTTCGTTTGCGCGCCGTGCTATCCGTGTCTTGAGAAAAGGGTGTCTCTCACCCGCTTTTTGCGGCTGTCGCGTCTGGTCGACCTTGCTCTCCTGAACGGTGTGCTAGATCACTGACTTCCTGAGTCATGAGTCGGATAGCGAAGGGACGGGCGAAATGAATTAGTTGGTGGATGTCAAGCCGGGATACAGGCCTCATTTGAAGGGTAGGAGTGAAGCCATTGTCCAATCTGGCCTGAATCGTAGTAGTTGCGGGCCGTCTCGTGAACCTGTGCGTGGGAGTGAGATCACGTCGGACAACCGTAAGCGCGCGCGCACATCCAAGTGGAATCACGTCGAACCATCAGGGAGACAGACGACGGAGGACGATGATTGTAGACCCTTGCGGTCGATTGAGCCGCTCGCGAAATCGCGTTCTCTCGCGCTTCGAGAACGCACATGTGTCAACGCGTGCGAAGCAGATAGTTGGATGCAATTTTCATTAGGTACTATGGAGACAGGGGCTACAGAGAACGAGTGACAAGTCCAGTGGAGATCGAGGTGCGCGGGAAAGACCTACAGAGCTACGGGTCAAGGCGTGGATGGGTGGGTGAAAAAGGGGCTGAAGAAGGTGATACGGATGCAGCCGTAGTACAAGCTGTCCCCTTCTACTCTCGACGCAGCGTGTACACCTTCCTCACAGGTGCATCTGCGCTCGCGTCCACATCCATCGAGCTGGAGCTGGATTGCGGCTTCACTCGCCTAAAGTCGGGATAATGTGGTGCAGCAATGTCCACGCGTTGCCCGGCGGAGGCGGCGGTGCCGACTGCTTCAGTGGCCACAGGCCGCAATAGCTCTGGGCGGAAAGTCGTCACGGGATCCAGCACCGATGGTGAGGGCGAGCTGGAGCTTGCTCGTAGATTCATCTTTTTGAAATCGGGATAATGTGGTGCGGCAATGTCCACGCGTGGCTCAGCGGAGGCGGCGGTGCCGACTGCTCGAGTGGCAACAGGCCGCAACCGCTCTGGGCGAAAAGTCGTTGCGGGATTGAGCACCGATGGTGAGGGCGAGCTGGAGCTTGCTCGCAAATCCATCTTTCTGAAATCGGGATAATGTGGTGCGGCAATGTCTACGCGCGCGCCTGTGGTCGCACCGGGCGCTTGAGTAGCGGCAGGTCGCAACAGCTCGGGGCGAAAGGCCGAAGGGATGTGCTCAGCGGCCGGGCGCAGCGATGGCGACGTGCGCTGCTCGTGGAGCGCCTTCTCTGCCGCGTGTCGCATAGCGCGCTTCGGAATGGAGGCTCTTCCGGTGAACAAGCGCGACTGATGCTCTGCCTGGGCGAGCAGCATGTCTAGACCGGACACGAATGTCCAACGATCCGCCCATGCCGAAGTGCGCACAAGCTCTTGCAGCGTTGACCGCACGCCAGTGTAGGCCATGTCGATAGCGACGCCCTGCTCCAAGGTGGTGTCGCGCAGCTTGAGCAGGTCCGCAGGAAGGACAGTGGTGCCGGGCGGTGCGACGCCCTCTTCGTGAGGCAGCGCGCTGCCTTCCGGTGGCGTTGTAGAGACGACGACTCTTGGCGCATAGCATTGCGTCACCTCCTGCAGCGTCTCCACGAACAACACGTTCCACGTCAGCGGGCACGCATCGACCACGTTTCGGGCCGTCGCTCGTGTACGATTGTGCAGCAAGATGCGCTTCGCACCCGCACGGTGCAGTGCATAGATGGCGCCGCGCGCTGTGCCTCCTGCGCCTAGGACGAGCGCGTCGAATGAGCCAGGCGATAGGCGACCTTGTACCGCAGAGCTTATCGCGCGCCAGTCGGTGTTCTCGCCATACAGGCAGAGCCCGCCGCCAGCTGCATTCGGCGCCGCTGCAGGACGGGGCAAGATGGTGTTGATGGCCCCGATCGCCTCCGCTTCGGGGCTGATGGAGTGGCACAGCGCCATCATGGACACCTTGTGCGGGATCGTCACACTAGCTCCGCCAAAGTCCTTTGCCGCCAGCCGATTGAGCACCGCCTCGTCGGTAGCCTGGACCGATTCGCATCGAGCATACGCGTGGGCTGTGCCAAGCTGCTTGAAGACTGCGTTGTGAATAGCGGGGCTCAGGCTCTTGCTCACGGGATTGCCGAAGATGTGAAACTTTTTGCCCGGATTCATGCCGAGCAAGTGCAGACCTGTCTGGATCTGAGCATAGCTGAGCTGACCGGGTGCGGCTTGACCGAGCTTGGGGTGCGTGACGGGATTGAGCACGGGGTTGAGGATGCGACTCAGCTGGCCGGCCGGCGACATGTTGACCGCTAGTAGGGGCTTGTTGCCAGGCTTTAGGACCGCCTCTCTGAACTCCTTGAGCGCGTGGTTATCGTTCAGCGTCCTCGCCAGCCCAATCAGCTTGACGACGTCGCCATACTTTGATCCAAGGTGATACTTTTCCATCATGGGCGAAGCTTCGCCTCTGTGGCCCCACGGTAGCTCGCCTCGTGGATCGTGCCAGGAGGCGATGATACGGCTACAGCCTTTGGCCGCAAAGAGCTCTGACAGCTGCTGTTCCGCCAAACGCATCTCTACATCCACATAGTCGCAGCCGCTGCGAAGCGCAAGCAAGATCAGCCGTACGTATCCCGCCAAGTCGTCATCGGGATAATGCCCGCCCTGCGCGACGCTTCGGACAGTGTAGATGATTGGAAGATCGATGACGCTGCGCAAAAGCGCCACCTCGCGCGCCACATTGTCAACGCAGGTGGATGAGAGGCAGTCGACGCGTAGCTCAACGGCGTCTACACCTGCAGCGAGGTCGCACAGATCGGACAGGTGTGTAGAGACGCTCGGAGCATTGTACGACAGCATGTACGTCCTTCTTGCAAAGCTGAGAGGCCCAACGTGTCGGGGCTTTTGCTCGGTGATGATGCCAAAGAAGTTGGACACTTGATCCGCGAGCGGCAAGGCGCTGTTTGGCACGTCGATTGGGTTGCTGAACTCGTACGTGGAGCAGGCAGCAAAGTGAGGCTCACGTCGGCGAAAGACTTCCTCTGCCGCTTCGCCATAAGCAGGGCGGCCGGCAGTCTCGAGGAAGTTGAGAAGGTTGAACAAATGCCTTCTGATCCAGACGACTGGGCCCATGTTCGCTCCATATTCTTGCAACAGGGTACGAGCCTCGGGTGTCTCGACGATGCCGCCACCCAAAGAAAGAACGGCATTGTCGGCGTGCTCGATCAAAAGGGAGCGCAGAAGCTCTAGCTCGGCCCGACGGAAAGCCGGCCAACCGCGCTGCTGTACAAAGGTGGAAAGGTCGCCGTATCGCAACTCGAATTGCTCGTCGGCGTCGACCAGAGTGCGCCCCAGTTCCATGGCAGCGATCCGGCCAATATGCGTCTTGCCCGATCCGCGCATGCCAATCAACACAATGGTGGGTTTTGAGTCGGCGAGACTTGCCACGGCGCGACTGATGATCGGCGCCGCTTGATCGGGAACCGCTTTATCGGGAGTACCGCGCGACGGCACAAGGACATCGTCGGTCGCACCAACCTGAGCTCCCAGCGTGTCGCGCAGATTGTCGAACCACGTTGGCCATGTCTTGGCAGTGCAGTGACGATCCTCTAGGATACATCCCGTGGGCGACACAGCCCCAAGCAGGCTCAGAGCCATGGCCACGCGATGGTCGTCGTAGCAGTGAATGGAAGGGATTTGACCCGAGGCGTAGGTGGCTTTTTGCTCCAGCGAGCTAGGATAAATCTCGAGACCATCCTCATGCTCCACCGTCTTGACTCCAAATCGAGCCAATTCGTCCATCATCGCCTGGATCCTGTTGCATTCCTTGACTCGCTGATTGGAGATGCCGGTGATGCGCGTGCTGGTCTGTCCAGTCACGCCAGGCGTGGTTGCGCACGCGAAAAGTACCGCAGCGGTGAGGAAAGCATCGGTCAGAGGCTCCATGTCCACCGTGCCGAGTTGTCGGAGCGATGCGGGAGCACCTGGCGGGCCTCGAACGAGTGTAGCGTTGCTGGTCTGCTCCACGGTGCATCCCATGTCGCGCAAGAGCATGGCGAAGGCTGCATCGCCTTGTGCCGAGCTCGAGCCCAAAGTTGGAATGACACATTCCGTGCCCTGCAACGCTGCTAGGGCGAGCGGGTACGTCGCCGAGCTCGCATCGCTCTCGACGGCATACTCTGCGGGTGCGTGGTACGCGCCAAGCGGAATGCGGTAGAGATGCTGAAGCTCTCCGGAGGTGGTGCGGGCACGTTGCACGTGGATGCCAAAGTCCGCCATGAGGGCGATGGTGAGGTCGATGTACGACTGCGAAATGACGTGATCGCCGACGAGTTCCAGCGTCACGAATTGTTGACCTGCCGAACTAGGAGCGGCGAGCGGGGCACACATCAGCACGGCTGACACGTACTGAGAGCTGGTCTCGGCTGACAAGCTGATGTGTCCGTCGGTGCCTGTGGGAAAGAAGCCGCGAGCGGGAATGTCGAGGGGTAGGTGACCGGCGACCTTGGACGTGATTCCCGATCCTGCTGCGTTCAATGCTGTGACGAGATCGCCGATGGGACGCTTCTGCATGCGCTCGTTGCCTGTGAGGGTGGTGGACGAGGCTGAGGCGGTGGGTGCTGCAAGGAGACAAGCGGCTGTCAGGAAACGAGCAGCCGTGCCAGCGTTCTGCACGTAGAGTTCCTTGTCGGGGGCTGAAAGGAGACCTCCGTGGCCGTGCACGTGAACGCCATCGGTGTCGATTTCGATGTCGGCAGCGCGAAGCGAGCGCAACGAGTCGATCATGACGCGCGTATCATCCGAGTGCAGCAGGTTCCTGATGCGGCATCCGTGCGTCGAGGTGGAAAGGGCGGCGAGCAGCAGTACGCGATTGGAGATGCTCTTGCTGCCGGGCGGGACGATCTGCACGGCAGCTCGAGGAGCGGGTGCGGCGGGCTGCACCAAAGCAGCAGACGACATGGCAGAGGCAATGTCTGCATCCGAGACGCTCGAAGCGCGCTGCTCCAGCGTGGTGCCGAGAGAGTTGAGCAGAACGAGCTTCTTGATGGAACCAGCGTTCTTCTTGTCGATGGACATGCGTTCCAATAATTTGCTGATGGAGAGCTTGCCGGCGTTGGCGTGATGTGCAAAGTCTGAGATGGAGACTGGCAACCTGTACGCTTTGAGGCAGCTCGACAAGGCGCCCAATTCGCTGATGGAGAGATGATTTTGAGCCACAGCGATGCGCGCTTCGAGCATCATGCCCACAGCGATGGCCTCGCCGTGAAGCGCCTCGGGCAGCTGTGTGCGTGGGCGAGCGAGAGAGGGGTGAAAAGAGTCAGACACGAGATGCGATCGTGACGGCGTTACGAGCAGATGGAATCGTGAATACCCTACACGCGGCGTGACGTGCCACATGCTCACCAGTAGGCTCTCGAGAGCGTGACCGATCGAGTGTCCAAAGTTGACGAGATTGCGCAGTCCCGTCGTTTCGTGCGGATCGGCATTGACGATGGAGGATTTGATGTGGATCGAGGATGCGACGAAGCGTCGCAGCAGCTGCGCTCGTCGCGTGATGTCAGTCTCGTCGGCGCTCGAGTTCGAGTTGTTGCTGTCTGCAATGCGCATATCGTCAAAGGCTTGCCAGACATCGGACGCGGATGCGGCGATCTCGTGGAATAGGTCGGCATCGCGAATGGCGGCAGTTTTGATGACCTCTGCCATACCGTTGGCGATCTCGCGGGCAGGCAATGTAGCGAGGAATTGTGGAAAGACGTAAATGTGCTTGGCGGGGTGAAATGCGCCGATCATATTCTTTCCCAGCGGCGTATCCACCGCCACCTTGCCCCCGATGGAACTATCGACCATTGCGAGCAGCGTGGTGGGCACGTGGCACAGATGGACCGAGCGCATAAACGTCGCAGCTACGAAGCCGACTAGATCACCCACCACACCGCCGCCGATGGCGACGATGACTGTATCGCGCGTCAAGCCAGAGGCCAACATCCAGTCTTCCAGATCCTCCTTTGTCTTGCGCGTCTTGGTCGCCTCGCCGCTTGGCATGACGTAGGAGAGCAATTTGGCGTGCGGGTGCGGATGCGCACTGCCCGAAGCGGTCGCAGTCAGCGTGCTGCGGAAAGCCGCTTCGAGCGTGGAGAGATGCAGCTTCGCTACGTTTGTGTCGGTGACGAGCAAGTACGCGCTCGCAGGAAGTTGGCTGATCACAGAAGAGGCGATGTATTGCGAGGGCAGCGTGGTCGTGGTCGTGGTCGTGGTCGACATTGATTTTCCCATCACCGTGCCAATGTGCACTTTGGAATCCAAGCATTGCTGGAATGCGACGTCGATGTCGGTGTCGACGTCTTCAGCGGCTGCTACCGATGCCGGTGCCAGGACTCGAGCTTGCGCTTGCGCGGTGGCCTTTGCATCGCTCTGGCGCAGCCTTTGCAGTTTGGTAGGCCTGACATCGGTGATGAGCGGTTGTCTCTCTGCAACGGCGACTGGCATTTTGTGCTGTTGTGTTGCTGGTGAGTGCGGGGGAGGCGTGCGTCTGCAAGGATTCGCTCGTGAGTGTGGGTGTGAGCGCGAGCGCGAGTGTGAGTGTGCGGACGCAGAGATGGAACTATCCTATCACGTGTCCTGTGGAATCCGGGAACATGTCAGGTATGTATATCAAGGACCGTGTGAGGCAGGACATCATCGATGCGCTGAACATGGCATCACTTCTTATACCGATTGGGTGTGCGCGTGCGCCTGCGCGTGCGCGTGCGCGAGGGGGCAGCAGCGGGACCACGCCAGATCTAGATCCAGCTGCAGCACAGCTCCCTCCACCTTGCTTGACGCGAGTCCGACCGGGGTACTCGCTCAGCCATGTTGATTGGCAGCGCAGCATGTCGGAGAGAGAGAGCGAGAGAGAGAGAGAGAAAGAGAGAGATGTGTTGCGGTCCGCTGCACGCACGAGACCCAGCGCGAGTGCGTGCGTGGAGTGCGTGAGTGGATAATCACGCCAAGTAGGCAGGCGCGCGCTTTGACACGGAGATGATGGTGTTTCACTTGGACCCGCGGCGTGACTGCTTAATTGCATGATGGATGTGACAGTCACGAGTGAGTCAAAAGCAGCATCATATATATCTGGATGTGCGCTATTCTGCACGCATGCAGGCACGCGTCCGTCACGTGCAGCGCACTCGAGACTCGCGACGCGCACGCTGTTCTTGATTACGCGCAAGACGGGAGGGGAGGGGCGCGCCGGCGGTGATGATGGCAAGCATCCCAATCGTGAATTGCTTTGCTGCGTTGCCGCAGTGGAGTACGCTGTGTGTTGATGCCGCCGTCAGTCGAGCTGCAGATTCACAAGAGTTCGGCAACCATGATCTCCGCGCGAGTGCCAGCGAGCATCGAGTGGGAGCACATATGAATTCCAGTCAAGGATGTTTGCGCCAGCGGAACTCGAGGTGTGTGATGTAAATAATCGTAGTTTGCAAACCCGGCGTTTTGGCGCGCGTGCATAATCTCGAATGGCGGCGGAGCAGGTTGCGGCAGGATTTTCAAAGCGTGGCGCAGCAGATGAATTACGAAACAAAATCATTGTTATCTCTCGCGAGTAAGAGATAACAAAGTGAATCAAGAATTGCGCCGGCCACGATCACGCTGCAGCCCGCCGCTCCGAGGCGCGCACATGCACTATACGTGCAGCATGCATCGCGTCAATTCTTCTCTCGAGCCATGCAGCAGCCGCATGACCACACGCGCTCCGCGCTCGCCGCGTGCAAGGAATTGGGAATCTTGAATGTGAATGTGAATGCCCGCACGCGCGCGCACGCGCTCTCACGACTTTTTCAGGAACGCGCGCGTGCGTGTCGAGAATTTGCGCGAATGAATTTCCCCCTCCGTCGTCATCAACGCCCACAACGACACGCGTCCGCAACCACCACCGTCTCGATTCGCGCATCTCCCGCACACTTATCTTCCCGGTCGGCGCTTGTGATGCAAGGCCATGATTCTCGGAACGCGAGCCTGCACGGAGTGAGGGGCGGGGGCCAACGCCGACGTGTGGCGCTTGCGCCATTCGAGCGCCCGCGACTGCGACTGCGGCAGTGGTGTGACGTGATGTGATGGATCCGGAATCGGAGTGTGTTGCGACATTGCTAGCCCGCGCTCGCCGCTGCATCTCCAACGCCCGCACGCAAGCAAGCAAGCAAGCAAGCATCCTCACCCCCGTTGTTGGCGCGCGCATCCCCATTCCCGTTGTTCGCGCGCGCGCCCATCTATAGCACACTCGACGTGACGTCCGCGGCCCCAGCCCCCCGTCGTCAGGTTGCCCCAAGCCGTGCGCAACGGCACTCGATCCAGTCCGCCGGTCGATGCGGTTCGAGCGGTCTCGCCCGCGGGCCCACACGCGCGAAGCCAGCTGCCGTCGACGACATGGCTCCGTACATATATAGACACGTGCTGATGCTTACCGGTGCGGTAGTCCCACTAATGCTCGTGTCTTTGACAGCTCATCCCTTCACACGTCTCACGTAAGGTGCCAGTATCTTGCCGTCGCGCCCTTCAGCACCAATACGCAGTCTTCATAGGTAGCTCCCCCGAGCCCACCCCCCCGCGCCGGATCTCCCCAGCAAAACGTTCTCGCCACAATGTCTAGCGCAACAGCGGTGTTCCATGCCGCTGCAGCCGTTGCTGCACCTTCAGCCTTGCACCCTTTTGCCAACGGCAACTTGTCGTACGCGCCCGACACATCCGACGCCGAGCCGCTTAGCCTTCCACTACCCATGTGGGCCGCAGTTGCCCTCGTCGGCGCTACCATCTTGATCGCCTCGCAGTCCGCATTCAAGAGTCGAGGCAGCTTGCCTGCTGCGCCAGGACCTAACCGCACCCCCTTCTTCGGCAACGCTTTGCAAATCGACAATAAGCACCCCGTCGTGCAATTCAAAGATTGGGCTACCCAGTACGGCCCTGTCATGTCGCTCCGCGTATTTAGTCAAGATATTGTAGTCATAAATTCCGATCAGGCGGCAAAAGACCTGCTAGACGCCAAGGGTTCCATCTACAGCTCGCGCGCGCCGCCTTACTTTGGCTACAATCTCATGTCCAAGAGCAAACGCATGGTCTTTCATCCGTACGGTGATGAGTGGCGCAAGGCGCGCAAGATCATGCACCGCCTCCTAGCGCCCACAGCGATGTCCACGCAAGGCACATCGCAGGAGCTAGAATCTCGCCAGATGCTCAAAGAGCTCATGGACGGTGGGTCGCCCAAACAGATCCTCGCTTCCAAGGAACGCGGCGTGTCCAACACGTGGCACTTTTTCGACAGTTTCAAGCGCTTCAGCTCATCCAGTATCATGACGCTCTGCTACGGTCATCGCTTCGTCAGCTCTTGCGACCCCACGATCGTAGAGATCTTCGAGGCGATGGACACGCTATCCCTCAAATGTCAACCGGGCGCGTACCTGGTCGATGCGCTACCCATCCTGCGCAAATTGCCCACCGCTCTGCAGCCTTGGGTGAGAGAGGCGAAAGAGCTCCACGAACAAGAGTGGAAGACGTGGGGCAGATTGTTAGACCGATGCAAGAAGGAGGTCATGGATGGCACAGCTCGCGAGTGCTTCATCGGCGATCTTTTGCGCGAAGGGGCAGCGCTCGAAACGGAGAAGGAGAGACAAGAGGCGCAATTGACGGATCTCGACATTGGGTATGCGGCTTGTGCTCTGCTCGAGGCTGGCTCGGACACTACAGCCAGCACAATCGCGAGCGCGTGCCTGGCAATGATTCTACATCCCAACGTACTTGCCAAGGCCCACGCCGAGCTGGATCGCGTGGTCGGTTCGGATCGCTTGCCAGCGCTAGAAGATGAGGAGCATCTGCCGTACGTACGGGCATGCATTAAGGAGACGCTCCGATGGAGACCTCCAACCGTCATGGGTGTTCCCCACGCGGTCGTGCAGGACGACGTCTACAACGGCTTCCATATACCCAAAGACGCCATGATCATCGACAACATCTACGCCATGTCGCATGATCCCAAGCGTTTCGCCAATCCAGAAGTGTATGACCCGGAGCGTTTCCATCTCTCGCACCCGGGCACGGCGGCCGAGTATGCAGGAAAACGCAACGTCAAGGAGAGGGACCATTTCGCCTACGGCCATGGGCGGCGCATTTGCGCAGGCATTCACATGGCTGAAAAGAGTCTGTACATGGCCATCACCCGCATCCTCTGGGCCTTTGATATTGCCCGTGCAGACGGAGCAGACGAGATTCGCGCGGACCCGCACGATGAACGTTACACCGACGGCTTTGTCAGCTTTCCGAACCACTTTGGGGCCAAGTTTACCATTCGCGACGACACCCGGAGGGCAACGATAGAGAACGAGTTCAAGAACGCCATTGTCACGTGGGAGAGCGAAGGTCTCGAGGCGGTCTCTTAGAGCGCGCGCGCGAGATGACTCGAGATGGTGGGGGGTCCGCGCGCTGTCACTTTCTCGAGTCGCGCGACTCTCTCATCGTGCCGCTTAGCAGCTCGCCCTCGTGTACCGGTACCGCGAGTCGAGGCTTCCTTCCCATCCTAATTAGATGTTCTTTTCCGTGCGCCGTGTTGTTCCTCGTGTCGCTTCTCTCACCACTGTGACACCATCGCTGGTAGCTCTATCACCACGAAACTGACCTTTGTAATTCACGTATACAGATAGTCTTGTAGCCAAGCGGCTAGCCGCGCCCACGCCCACACGATCAGCCGAGCGACCTAAAAGCCGTAATTGATGATAAACATTGACGGAGCGAGGTGTCCAAATCGCAGTGGAAGGAATGGAGTCAAGCCCCGGAGCGACAGGAGAAAGGTGATGGGGATGCACAGAGCGAGGTGACAGTGTAGATCGTAATGGAGAGGGTTGTCTCGAAGAGAACCGAGGTCTCGGCTGATTTCAGTTCCTGACGATGGGCGCCAAGGCTTCCATAATTTTAACGCGGTCAGAGCAGCGTCGAGATGTTGTGAAGGCTTCCACATTCAACTTTGGTTTAGACAGAGCAAACGCGCGCGAATGTTGGCATTTCCTGAGTTGAGTGAAGCGAGTTCGGCGTGAACCGCGACCGCGACCGCAAGAATGAAATTCTATTGGTATAAGCTGAGGATTTTGCGCTGTAAACTAGACCGCAGCGCGTCTGGACATCCGCAAACCTAATGGTATAAGTTGAGGATTTTTCGCCGTAAACAAGCGCGCGCCCCGCCAAAAGACGCGTGTCCGGAGGTCCGCGGAGCTGATTTTGAAGATTTTACGTCGTAAAAGTGCGCTGCCAGATTTCTGCCATACGCGCCATATGCTGCCATACGCGCGCCATACGGGCGCTCTCGGCCGGTAGCGCGTGTCATAGCCAGACAGAGGCGCGCGCGCACCAGGCATAATTTATCTGCCATGCCTTGTCTGTGCGGCAGCAGTCACACCTACCGCTCACATTCACTTTGTTGTCCCTGGCACCGACACTTTGACATGCTGGTGTGCGGCAAGCACGCTACCAAATGAGATGCCAATTACACCGTCAGGAAGCTGTGATAGGGGCATTTTGTGTGGTGCAATTTACTTCTTCAGAGGGTCCATCAGTGGGCAGAGAACATGCGCACAAACCAAAAGTGCTGCGCGTGAACTTCCCACCAAACCAGTGCGCTGGCACCGACACTTTGAGGGCCCACTGTCCAGGCCATTATTGTCCAATTGCCTTGTTCAGATGCTCACTTGGTAGCTTTGATAGGGGCATTTGCCGTAGTCAAGTCTGTTGTGCCAGAACAAGGGCTGGTGAGCGGTGACAAGCGCTCAAAGATAGGCATGTGCAAGGACAACAGGCGGGTCAGCCTTGTTGTGCGGGCGTGGCTGCACCACTATACGCGCGCTCTGTGCTTCAGCAGTGACGCGTGCCGCTCACAGCCCCTCATTGTCCCTGACACCGACACTTTGACCTGCTGTTGTATGGTGAGCACGCTGCAAAACAACCAACAAACTGCACTGTCAGGAAGCTGTGATAGGGGCATTTTGTGTAGTCAAAGCAGATCTGCCAGAACAAGCACCTGCAAGCGGTAACAAGATTTCAAAGATGAGCCTGTGCAAGGACAATGAGCGCGTCAGTCTTGTTGTGCGGGTGTGGCTGCACCACTGTACGCGTCAAGACCTCTTGTCTATCCCCACATACAAGGCACTGTCTTCTTACACGTAGCAAAGGATCTTCTTTGCGCCAGTGACACTCGTCTTACCAAGCATGCAAGCTATGCTTGGCTACCTGTGCATCAACAAGGCAAGTACTGCTCATGATGGGCGCACAGCTTGCTCTGTTGCACGCTCCAAAGGTATAAAGATGGGACTTGAGATGCTCTCAGGTCCAACTCTCCTTGTCAATCACTCACTCGATCACTCAGTACTCAGCACACAACAGCATCTCTTGCCCAAACCCACCTCCCCCTCGACAAACCTCAACATGTCCACTGCAACTGTTCCCACCACTGAGCAGCGCGCTGAAGCGCTTGCTCTCCAATACCTATATCTCCCTCAGTGGCAGGTCATTGCTTGCCTGCACTGCGCAAGCTGCGTGCGCCCAGGTAAGGAAGCCATTACTCGACACCTGTACAAGCACAGCGTGTGTAAGCCAGAACTGACAGTGCTTGTCAACCTGCTGGATGATTACGAGGTGCTTGGCCCTCAAGCGCCACGCACAGAGTGGCCCACAGCTGTCATCAAAGAGCTTGCTGTCCATGACGGCTACCAGTGTACCTTTGGATGCACAGATGCCTTTAGGACACTTGACAAGGTCAAGCTGCACATTGCTCATGCGCACTCATCAGAGTCAGCCAGATCTGCTGATGCGCCGCTTTGGAGACGGTGCACGGTGCAGACTTTTTACTCTGACAAACAAGCAGTGCGCTACTTTGCTGTAGCGCTGCCTCCCACGCCTGGTCCCACTCAGTCGCAACATGTGCCTCTGGCTGAGGAGGCCTTCTTTGATGCGCTCCAAGCAGACAAGCAGGAGGCTGAGCGTGATGCGCAAGAGCACGCCCAGCGCATTCATGGCTTTGGTGCACACCACTCTGGTGCGGTGCCATGGCTACAAAACACTGGCATTGAGAAGCATGTGTGTGGTCTCCACAAGCAGGAGATCCAAGCTTCCTTTGCGCTTCCAACCAGCAAGACTGAAGCGCAGCTGGAGCGCATCCTAGTTGCCCTGGAGTGGGTGCTGCGTGACACGCACACTCAGTGCATCAGCGAGTGGTCCTCCAAACTGACTTGGCAGCGCAAGCTAGCGCTCAGTCACTTCCGCACGGTGGAAGTTGCTGGCACTGTCCACCGTGCTTGGGATCCAATCAAGATGCCAGACACGCTCACAGACTACATCAGACACTGGAAGCAGCTCATTGCGTACTACTTCCGCATTGTGCATGAGGGAAAGGTGCACTTCAGCGCTGGCAGTGGAGAGCACACGACACCAGATGAGCTGGTTCAGGCCACAGATGAGCAGCGCTTTGCATGGGATCTGGTCTTGGAAGAGAGCAAGAACACTCCTATTGCATCCTTTCTCTCGGACGCAGTGCACTCTTTCTGCATGACGCTCATCCAGCATCACACTGGTACGCGCCCCTTTGCCTCTCCACTACTCAGCTTTGTGGCCATGCACGCCATTGAGGTCAAGACAGGGGCGTGGAAGTCAGCAGGCGTGTTCAGCAGCTTTCTCTCTGGATTGATTTGGGTGGCGCAGCTCATGATCTTCCGAGAAGCAATCTCTGGTGATGCAGAAGACGAGAAGGTCCTGGACACCATCAACGCCAACGTCAGTGCATACATGCAGCCAGACAAGGAGACAGTCTTTGGTGAGGTGCTTCACTGGCGCTCACTGTGCTTCGAGGTAGCACGGCATGAGATTGGCCCACAGCAAGCCTACTGGGATGAAGACAAGCAGGGGCTCACGTACAAGAGCATCCACCTCAAGCTCACGGATGTTGGGCTCATCTTTAAGCATCAGATGGGTCGAGCAAGACAGCTGCTTTCTGCTGATTTGCTGTTTGGCAGCAATGGTCCTGCGCAGGTGCAGGCCTCTATGCTGAAGGACAGCCTAGACCGGCGTGATGTTGGCTGGTTCTTTGCCAAGCATGAGGAGAATGCAACACTTCTTGGTGGCGCACATCTGACGTTGGTCCAGGCCATCAAGCGCACACCTGCACTGCAGGCAGTGTATCTGGACAAGTCTGCTGCGCTGTACAAGTGGAGCGCAAATGCCGTGCAGCTTTATCAAGAGCATGCACACCGCTTCCTCAGCTCACTGGCGGTGCTCATCCACATGACTTCTGGTCAGCCGCTGCGTGAACCAGAGCTGTTCTCTATTCAGTGGCGCAACACACAGCAGAAGCGCAACATTGGCATCAAGGATGGACGTGTGATGATCCATACGTGGTACCACAAGGGCCAGCAGCAGACGGGCATGCACAAGCACAATGTGCGCTTCTTGCACGCAGAGGTTGGCAATCTACTCGTCAACTACTTGGTCTACGTGGCGCCCTTCCTGGAGACTCTGTTGCGCACCAGTCAGCCCAAGGCGCTTGTGTCCGAGTATCTCTGGGTCAAGCAGAATGTCATCTGGAAGGAGAACAGTCTATCTCAGGCCATGGTGGCAGCGTGCGTCAGTGCTGGTGCGCCAACTCTGCGCATTGCCAGCTGGAGGCAGATCACCGTGAGCATGGTCAAGGTCTTGATCTCAGATGTCGACCGCCGCTACTTTGATATTTCAGAGCATGACCAAGAGGATGAGGAGCTCGATGAAGAGGCGCGTGCAATGCACTGGCAGGCTAATCACTCGTCACGCACCGCCAACCGCCAGTATGCCAACATGCATGGTGCTGGTCTTGGTCGCACGTATGATGGGCTCATCCAGCGTGGTCTGCAGGCGTCTGTTGCCTGGCACGTGCTCTGGAAGCTGGATCAAGTGCTTGCTCAGCCAGGTTCAAAGCGCAGCGCAGATGATGCTGACTTGGAAGAGTGCAGCCATGCCCTGAAGCGCATGGCTGATGGACAGGTGCCGGTCAAGCGCAAGGTGTGGTCAGCAAGCGCGCTCTTGGTGCAGTCTAGAGAGCTCTTTAAGAGCAAGTCCTTTGGCTGGAGATCAGGTGCGCAGCGCCAAGCACTGGAGGCAGTTTGCTCGACACAAGAGCAGATCATTGCAGTCTTGCCAACAGGCGCTGGAAAGAGCCTGCTCTTCATGCTTCCATCTACCTTTCCAGGCGCTGGCATCACCGTGGTGGTGCTGCCCTTTGTTGCGCTCAGGATCAACATGCTGCAGCGCGTGCAGGAGCTGGGTCTCAAGTATGCAGTGTGGAGCGCAGCAACCCCAGAGGTTGAGGCGCCACTGGTCTTTGTCATGGCAGAAGCAGCAGCCACTGATGCCTTCCGCATGTACCTGGCCATGCTGGACGCTCAGAAGAGGCTGGACAGGATTGTCTTGGATGAAGCGCATCTCACCGTCACTGCCAGCAGCTACCGTACCAAGATGCAGGAGCTGTCTCTGCTGCGCTCCTACAAGACGCAGTTTGTCTACCTCACTGCCACGCTGCCGCCGTCCATGCAAAAGATGTTTGAAGAGCGGCATCACCTCAGCAAGCCCAAAGTCATACGCGCACCAAGCAACCGTCCAAATGTTGCCTATGCAGTCACTCAGCTCAAGGCTGGTGCGCACTTGGTTACAGAGGTAGCTGCGCGGGCCAAGCATGCATGGAACACAGAGTCCAGCTTTGACGGCAACAAGGACAAGATCATCATCTTTGTGCGGGATCTCAGCACAGCAGAGGAGTTGTCGCAGAGACTTGGCTGTCCTCAGTACACGGCGGGCGCAGCAAACAGGGCAGAGGACAAGGCATCAATCTTGCACAACTGGCTCAGCTCTGCAGCGCAACCGTTCATGGTCGCCACCTCTGCCCTTGGCACTGGCTTTGACTACGCTCATGTGCGCATAGTCATTCATGCAGGAGAGCCGTACTCTCTCATTGACTTTGCGCAAGAGTCAGGGCGCGCTGGGCGGGATCTCAAGCCAGCGTACTCTCTGGTCATTCTGCCCTCTGAATGGCGCGCGTGGTCCAATCTTTCCAGCGTCAGCAAAGACAAGCAGGTGCTTTACCGCTACCTGGAAGGCAAGGAGTGCCACCGCAGTGCGCTCTCATCCTACATGGATGAAGTGGCCCTCTCCTGTCAAACTGGGACAGATGCGCCGTGTGACGTATGCCTGGGCAGCTTGACACAGCATCATGCCTCAACAAGCTCCTCTTCTGCCGCGCCAAGCACCATGAGCCACACAGGTGCTGCCAACATAGCCGCAAGCAGAAAGAAGATGCATCAAGATCTGGAGCGGTACGAGGACAACTTGCTTGCGGTGGCTGGGAGCTGCGTCATGTGCCGTGCAACTGGCAATGACTCCAATCATCAGACGCACCAGTGCCCCATCTACTTTGAGGACTTTAAGGCTGCTAGAGATCAGGTAACAGGCAGCTGAAGGCGTCTCAAGATTGCACCGTATCACGCCTGCTTCTGGTGCTACAATCCGCAGGCAATCTGCAAGCGCGCGTGTGGTCAGGAAGCAGCTGCATGCCGCTTCAAAGATGTGGTGCTGCCTATCTGCTTTGCAGTCTTTGCTAGTGGACGTCGAGGCAAGTGGTTGAAAGAGAAGACTAAGCGCAGCTTCAAATCTGCTGCAGAGTTTCTTGTCTGGTGCGGCACCTCTTGCCGCTTTGGCGGAGACAAGGCAATTGAAGGGGTCCAGCTGGCCGCTGCAGCTCTGGAAGAATGGTGTGAACTGGAGCGCATGTAAATGTTCATGTGTTCACGCAGAAACTTGTTGGTTGACGTGTGTGTGCAGTCAAAAGTTGTCAGATTGTTTGGTCCTTTGTCTGAATGTGACGCACTCAGCAGCCACTAGCACCACTTGCTACTGCGCTGACGGTGACCATGGTTGCAGGTGACGCAGATACTGGCTGGCTGGCTGACGACTGCGCAAGTCAAGCTTGGTGAAGGTATATGAGACTTAGTTTTATAGGCTGATTTTAAGTCTGTTTTGCCTCAGTGGTAAGGAGTTGAACTTGGTAATTATTGTCGGCCTGGGCCCAAGGCTCGGCGGTGAGACCTGGGTTCGACCCCCGCTGGGGTCAAAAAAGTGACTTGCCCCCGCTGAGCGGGGACAGCGCAGGTGGCGTGCTTGGTGCCATACCAGTTGGAATAAGCATCTGGCGGAGGGGCTGGGGAGCCGCGCAAGCGGACGGCATTGGCTTGCGCCTTGTCGCACACCCCGGACACTGTAGATGTCCAACGGTTTACTGGTCTACACGTCAAGAGTCACCTGCACTGTCTCTGCTCAAAGGGGCACACAGTGGGATGGGTGGTGCGACTAACCCAGGCTTGAGAGGACGCTCTCGAGTCTGGGTGAAAGTGCTGCTTGGACCGTCTGGGGTGCGACTAACCCAGGCTTGAGAGGACGCTCTTGAGTCTGGGTGAAAGCGCCGCTTGGACCAAGAAATGGACGGCGGTCACCGTCACCATTTTCTTGAAAAAAAAAGCGGCCTTACCGGGGGTTGAACCCAGGTCTCAGGCCAAAATTTTTGGTGGTAGTGGTCGGCGACCGTTGCTGGTGACAATGTTTGACCAAAAACCAAAGTTGACTGTAACGCTTCAAAATGACTACCTGCAGCGTCGGAAATGCGTTTACGCACCAAAAATGAAACTTGTTCAGATTGCCTCAAAACATATGCGTGTGAAGATGGATTTTCAATCTGACCACTTTTAGGGGACCACGTACGTCGACCGACTTGTCTCGCACCAAAAACCAAATTTGCTCAGGATGCCTCAAAACTTATGTCTGTGAAGCCAAATTTGTAATCGGACCACTTTTGGCCAACTCGACATGTCAACTGCCCATTGGCACCAAAAACCAACTTGCGCAAAATGGCTCAAAACAAGAAGCGGGTATAATGGTTTTCTTTCTGGGTTATCTACCGGCAGTTTTGTCTCAGTTGGAAGGCGTTCAACTCTTGTTAATCGCTGCTGAAAAGCAGGGAGACCTGGGTTCAAATCCCGTGAGCACCAAATTGCCAAACCAGTTGGAACAAGCATCTGACGGAGGGCTGGGGACCCGCGCAAGCGGACGGCATTGGCTTGCAACATGTTGCACACCTCAGTCACCGTAGGTGCCCAATGGTTTTGCTAATTGTTGTTACAAGTAACTTTTGCTGCGGTGGCTGATTTGTTGGCTGCGCAAGCCTAAATGTGGAGGTGCAGCGCCTGCTTGGAACGGAGTCAAAGTGGCAATAACCATTACGCCAACGCAATGCTGGTTCAGCCCCTCGTAAGGAACAGTTATAAGCAGCATCCTTCTTACGACAATCACCCCCCCACCTTTGCGGTCATCACCTCATCCACACACGGCTCCCGCTACACGCAAAAGTCTGATCAATTTTGGCTGGGAGGGCTCGACAATCAGCAACTTCACTTTGGACGGTGTCTAGTATGTCAATAGACACCAGTGAAGCTATACATGGAGTCACTGACGCTCACCAAGCCCTTTTGACTCAGATCACACGGTGCGATTTTGTCGGTGCACGGTGTCAAACAACTGTACCACCAAACTTGCCGATCTGCTC